AGACCTTAGAGCAGCCCCAGAGTCTACAAGGGCTACAGGAAACCAGCAGTGGGGCTTTGGACAAGGGCCTGTAGAGACAGGACAAGGGGGGAGTGGCTTTAACCTGACAGAGGGGAGATTTAGATTAAACATTAGGCAGAAGTTCTTCCCTGTGACGGTGCTGAGGCGTTGGCACAGGGTGCCCAGAGAAGCTGTGGCTGCCCCATCCCTGGCAGTGTTTAAGGCCAGGTTGGATGGGGCTTGGAGCAACCTGCTCTAGTGGAAGGTGTCCCTGCCCTTGGCACGGGGTTCGATCTGGGTGAGCTTTAGGGTCCCTTCCACCCCAAACCATTCAATGAAAAATAAAACCCTGAAAGGTGTTTGAGGTTAACACTAACAGCAGCAGTTCATGGCCTTCCCTGAGGTGTCTTGGAGACTGTGAGAAAGCATGTGATGCATTTCCCTCATTAGAAAGATGAAAATCGTCACTAAAAATGTAGCCAATGAGATAATTTGGAAGATGTTGCTTGATGTACCTAGGAAGTTATATGCAAAATATTTTGAAATAATTACTTCTCTTAAAAAACTGAGGGGGGATGGGGGGAATGGAAGCTCTTCAGACTACCTGAAATACAAAGTATTACTGAATGCTTTTTAATGTAAAGCTAAAGCTTAATAAACTGTTGAGAGGAAAAAAGGCACATAATAAAGAAAATTAGCCAAAAGAACCTTTATAAAGGGCAGTGGAACTGATAAAAAGATTCTGGTTTATCTCCTCAGGAGAGCTCATCTGCAAGCCATTTGTCAAATAAGAACTGAAAAGGGATGTGATAAGAGATCCTAGATCTATGAAATCCGTCCTTTAGGATTTCAGTACCCATTGTGTCATGTCACCTCACAATACAGAGTGAATACGATCATATTTTCAAATGTGAAACTGCCATTTATATCAAAAGATGCAATTGTATCTGAGGAGGGAGTCTCAAACGGAGGCTGGAAATATTTAAGGCTTAATAAAACTTTTAGGAAGTTTGCTAAAATTCTAGAAGCAGGAAGGCCTTTGAAAAGCCTGTGCAAGTGACAGAGTGCCTGATCAGTCGGTTTATTTTCAAATGTATAGATAGAGCTTTCAAGATGGATGAAAACCATCACTGGTGCTGTTTGCCACCTCAACACACTGTTTTGTTGAAAGAAAAATGCATATTTGGAGTGGGTGAATGTTGAAAGCCCTGATTCCACGCTAAATCTTATTTACTTGCATTATTGTAATTTTTATGACATTCTTATTCTATTACTGTAATCTTGTAGTGTTACAGCACTGCAAAAATGAAGCATTATTTACCTATTGTACAGATATATATTAATATGTAATTGTAATATGTATATTGAAATCCCTATCTCACAACAGAGTTTGAGGTTCATGAAAGGGTTGTCAATCAGAAATCATGCAAAAAAGCTTCAGCTGAAAACTGAAGAAGTTCATTCAATTATCAGAATGAAGTTTCTAATGTCTAATCAGTTGTTGTATGTGGATGTAGATGTGTGCATAGCAGGGACTCCTATTGTCAGATTTCCCTTTAAGAGTTATTAAAATATACACTGCCTGAAGGAATGAAGATTAATGTGCGGTCTGCTACTAAAAATGAGCCAGCCTGTATAGTAAGGGTGGAATATTCAGATAACCTGTTATCTATGATGAATGGAGTCTGCCCATGCTGCTCACGAAGGTACTTGTTTTGTCGTTTGTGACTCATAAAGGACTTTGACTATGTTGAGTGGCTGTTGTTACTGTTTTGAGCTATTTTGAATGATAGGAATGCTGCTTGATCTTAAAACACAGAAGACAATCTGCCTTGTATTTATTCCAAGAAATAGCATTGTGTGTCAAGACAGATTGTGGAAAACATCGTCTCATTTTGTGGTTTATTCATAAATACCGTGACCTTCAGAAAAATCGCTTAATCTACCTTCTAACTCTATTTCCCATTTCAAAAAAGGTGAGATATAATAATGATAAAAGGCAGAAAAATGGCAAAGTAAATGTTGTTTAGCTTCCTGTTCTTCTGGGTCATTTTCTGTGGCTTTAGAGGCAATATTTGAAATATTAAGTATACCTTAGTACAAGGAAATGTTGTGGGCTTGGTGTAAGAATTACTGGACAAGTGTCTACAGTCTGTGACTCAACAGATCAGAGTAGATTATCCTAGTGGTGTCCTTCACTTTAAAACTTAGTTGATGTTAGCAGTCTTAGCTGAAAGCAAAGGAACTGTTGGTAGGTGACATGACATCATATTCCATACAGGTCTTCTTACTTTGTGTATAATCTCCAATTTTCCTGACCGCAGCCTGTATCAGTAATAGAGAATGAAGCACAAACCTGTGTCTTTTTTCAGATGTCTTCAAAACTCTAATATTTCCATTTGTGTATAAAGGGCAGCATAAATGTCAACCCTCATGCTGGTCCTGTGCAGAGGTCACTGATGCAGCTCCTGTAAAGGAGCTTCTCCCCCAGAGCTTGCAGCCCTTCCCTGTTGGTGAGCACGAGGTCAAGCATGGCACCTCCCCTTGTCAGTTCCTCTCTTACTTGCAAGAAGAAGTTGTCTTCCACACAACCAAGGAGTCTCCTGGGTTGCTTGTGCCAGGCTGTACAGTCCTCCAACAGATATTGGGGTGGCTGAAGTCCTCTATGAGGACAAGGGCCTGCGAGTGTGAGGCTGCTCATATCTGCCTATAGAGAGCTTCATCCACCGAGTCCTCCTGATTGGGTGGCCTGTAACAGATCCCCACAGTAATGTCCCACATCACAGTTCTTCCCTTAACCTAGAACCATAAGCTCTCTGTTGGCCCATCAGCTGTCCCCAGACAGAGTTCCATACTCTACAGCCTATCATTGACATAAATAGCTACACCCCTCCCCATCTGCCCAGACTGTCTTTCCTAAAAAGCTTATAACCTTCCATTCCAACACTCCAGTCACAAGAGCCATCCCACCATGTTTCTGTGATGCCAATGATATATCACAGTGGATGTGCACATATTTCCAGTTCCTCTTCCTTATTCCCCATACTACCGGTGTTAGTATAGAGGCATCTGAGCAGAGCTCTGAACAAAGCCTAACTCATTGGCTGAAGTGGCTGAAGTAGCTCTGCGTTCCTCTGAGCATTCATTACAGGTGCTGGCATAATGCTACATTACTGAGAGTTATGAATTATGGGGGAATACCATAATTGCCTCAGAATTACTGACTTTCATCAAGTGACAGTTGGCTTTTTTCCAACCCCATAAAGAGAGGTCTGCACAGGAGAGGATCAGCACAAGTGTTCCTGTTCAAGACCACTCGAAACTGATGTTAAATGGGGTGTAGGACTTGGATCTCTTTCATATGGTTGAATTTGACCAATAATAAGTGCCCACTTTGTAGTGCATGGCGTGGAGTAAAAGCAGAATTGGGGATTTATCTTTTCCTAAAGGACATTAAAGAACCTGAAAATGCCTTTCATACATTAGAGGGCAGATGATTCTAAAGGCAAGCGGAGTTCAGATTGTATTTCACAGAAATGCATCCACACAAAATGTTATGCCTATTCAATATATATGTGATATCACTAAATTGTATTTAGGAATGTTTCAGGTCTGGTTCACCACTGTCTGAAATCACTTGTTTCAGCATTGTTTCAGCATTCCTATATTGATGTTAGATGTTGGAGTACTTCCTGCCTTCGAAAGATACTGATGTATTTTGCACAATGCCTCAATGGCTGAGGTAATCTGTTGGCCATAATAGTAAATATGATCATTAATAATATGTTAATACGTATATGAGGGTGGACAAAAAGTTTCCTTACATTTACAGATCTAAGAGAAATGCTTCAAGTTTTGGTCTTAAATTCTGTCTGTACTGTTACTTTGAGAAAAATACTTTAAACTACGATAGCCAGATTAAATCCAGCAGTATAATGGTGGTGTAGGGGAGTAGCTTATCCCATTTGTAGTTGATAAAATCTTACATCTTGGTGCACAGCTTGAAAGAATTTTGCGCTGCATAAGTTCTTCTGGATTTTTACATATTTGATATTCTGAATGTTCTCTGCTCAAGCCCCAGAGTCTCTATGACCTTTATAACTACAGTTTATTTTTTTTATGCCAGATGGCTGGATAAGCATCAGGTTGGTTTTATTCTTACTTCATAAAATAAAATAATAACTGCAAGTCCTAAAAACTTAATCCCAGAAGGGAGAAACAGCGATTGGAGGTTTTTTTTTTTTAATACAGGATTTCTGGTATTTCTTAAAATTATTTCTGCTGGTAAAGATTGAATGGGAAAAATCAAATAGTGCTAATATTGCACAGAAAATAAACTCAGCACAGAGCTTCTATGGAGTGGAAAAGCTCAGGAAAATAGATCATCTTTCTTAATTAGCCTGAGAGCATTTTGGTTTTCAGAACTGCCAGCTTCTTGCTGAGGAGATATGCCCATTGCGCTCTATCGGTATCAAAAGCCTTTAAAACACCACATAAACTGCACTAATGTACGTTGTGTTTTTGAAGCTGCACAATAATTCAGTGGCTGAGTAATTCCGATCACTTGTTGCACCTTCACGAGCCTTCCAAGGATCAGCCACCTGGGGCAATGACCTATCATGTTTATGGTATGGTTGATCTGTTTTCAGTTTTGTGCGTACTTCTGGAGCTCTGCTTATTATTAGGCTGTGTTCAAAGGCTGTGCACCAATAGTGTCTGCAAAGTGACAACTCATTTACAGCTATCTCTGTAAATTATTCCTATTTATGTCAATTATAGCATATTTAAATTGGGAGAAACTATCAATACAAAGAGCAGCATTTTCCATTTTAGGTTCAAACTGTGGAGGTTTATTTAGATGCAGACTTTCTGCTGAAGATAGTACTAGAAAAAAAAAAAGCTGCATAACCCAGTAAAATTGAGCTTGTTAAAAAAGTATGCTTAATTCTTTCACTCATCCAGGGGGAGAGAGACGATTAATTAATCTGGGGCTGTTTCAGGTACCATGAAGAGAGGAGACCCCTGCATTGGAATTTGACAGAGCTACGAGTGATGTGTTAATAGTCAAAGCAAGATTCTGCTAATGCAGGTGTGTGTCCTCTCTTTTTATTCTCCTTTTTTGCACTTTTCCTCCTCATTTGCACATCATTATATTTCTGTAATAGCTTAGCAGCCAGGAGAGACTGAGGAAATGGCAGTCCCTAAGTAGAATTAGCTGGAAGAAGAGCTGCAATTGCTTTTGGATCACTGCTTACTATAAGAGTTTGCCCTCTCAGATTCTTTTGCCTTCTATTATTAAGTCTTCCTTATGTGAATATTGCCAATAAAGGTGAGAAGTAGAAGTACAAGTACTGTCTTTTGGAGAACGGCAGAACATCCAAAGGGCAATCCAGCTCTGTCTATTAAGTAGAGTCCCAAACCATTCATCCTTGAATTATACTATTTGCTATAGAGGAATCCAAGCTAAGCCCGCCAGATGGACTTTAATAAATACAGACAGATGAGAATTATTTGGGTCTGTTCATATCTGTGTAAGATCACATCACTGTTGTTATGTACCATATGGCTGAGAAAGAGACTAGAGCTTTTTCTTTTTTAAATATCAGTGTTCTTTTATAGTGTGGTCCCAGCAAGAGGATGTATTGGGTCTGGCTGAGATGGAGTGCATTTTCCCCATAGTAGCCCTCATGTGCTCTACTTTGCATTGGTCGACAGAAAGGTGTTAATAACACACCACTGTTTTGGGTACTGCTGAACAGTGCTTGCACAGCGTCAAGGCTCTCTCTCCAATGTTCCCCTATAGGCTGGGGGTGGGCAAGATCTTGGGAGGGGACAGGGGCAGAACAGCTGACCCAAACTGACCAATATTCCATACTGTATTCCATGTTGCTTGCTGATAGAAAGTAGACAATAAATCTTTTGTTTTCCCTGTGTCCTGGGTTCAGCAGTAGCAGTCATTTTTCTCCTCCTTGGTAGCTGGTGCAGTGCTGTGTTTTTGACTTTCGGCCTGATGTTTTGGTCTGGCCAAGGGCTTTGTGAGCCTCATGCTCTGCCAGGGAGGAGGGGAAGCCGGGAGGAAGCAGAGACAGGACACCTGACCCAAACTGACCAAAGAGGTATTCCATACCACAGCACGTCATGCCCAGGATGTAACTTAGAGTTAGCCGGAAGGGCTGGGAGACTGCAGGGTTGGAGGAGGTATCGGTCAGTGCTTGGTTGGGCTGGAGGGGTGAGTTATCAGCCCACTGGTGCTGAGGTGTTGTATTCTCTTCCCTTGTTATTTCCTTTATCATTATTATCATTGGTGGTAGCAGTAGTGATTTGTGTTATACCTTAGTTACTAAACTGTTCTTATCTCAACCCATGGGAGTTGCATTCTTTTCGATTCTCCTCTCCGTCCCCCTGGGAGCGGGGGGAGGGAAAGAAGGGGGGGGAGTGAGTGAACGAGTTGCCTGACTGGGTTTAAACCACGACACCTTGCTTCCTTACAGTCTTTGGTTTTGCCTTATTAAACTATCTTTACTTCTTTATCTTGACACAAGGTTTGTTTTCCATCTCATTTTCTCTGCATCTCTTCCCCCTTGCCCTGGCCCCTATCCTGCTGAGGAAAGGAGTGATATGCCAGCTTGGTGGGCACCTGGCATCCAACTAAGGTCAACCCACCACAGAGAGCATTAATAAAGCAGCTATAGTTCAGTACTATTGAACAAGAACTTCTTGTAGCTCTGCAGACTTTGTCTCATTAATATTTCTCTGAGCCTTTCAATCTGAAGGGCATGTTGTAAACCTGGATTATTTCTCAAGGAAAGCCTTACTCAGTCCTAAGATTGGTACCAGGAAGGTGGTATATGTTTAATTGATAATGCCCTGGCCTGTCCTCAACCTCCCTCCACTTATTCCTACAGCCAAAATAATGTATTTCTTATCCAACTGCTTGGATGTTTACAATTTGCTTGGTCCCTCTTTTTGTCCCCTGGAGGAAAACATCACATGGAAAAATGGATATTAAGCTTTTACAGGAAAAACGCTACAAGTAGGCATACTTAATACAAAGACTGTTCTTTTGTGGATGAAAAATCTTGCAGTGTTATATTGTAGCTGTGTAGCTCATTCAAATAATTCTTGTTCACTCTGGCTTGGCCTCTCATTTTTAGTTTTCCTTTTCCTGTAGACACATAAATAAATAATAGATCCTTCCAGGTACCATAGGTTTTTAATGTAACGCTGTAATCTACCCCCTGGTTATCTTTTGTGCAACATAACTTTTGAGCTTAGCCCATTTCAGCAGTGTGTGTGGGAGAGAGCAATGACCCGAATGCTTTAGGAAAACTCACACCTTCACTAATAACTCTTAGCTCTTAAATGTCCTGTTTCTCCTCTGCTATAATCAACATATTAGTCCAATAATTAGTTATTTTAGGGTTAAGAACCCAGTGGTGCATTTTTCAAAAGCATTCATGTTGTTTAGAAACCCAGAATATTCTCCTCTTTTCCTTCAGTCTCAAATGTAATCTGTGGCCAAATTTTCACACGTATTTAGGCCTTTAACAAGACCAGCCTAGAGAAATTACAAAAAGCCAACTTAGGTGGCCCACAGGTGATTGAAAATTGAGCTGGGCCCCTGAGGCCATTTCATGCATGCTTGAATAACTTTGAAAATCCAGCCGCAGGGTATTTTGTAGCTGGTTTTTCATTGCCTGGCAGTGAAACCTGAGCCACTGAGAGCCAAAGAGCCTTGTTACAAATAAGGAATTGGAGAAAATAAATTGTATGGGTGCTTTCAGAATTGTGCTTTATGCACGTAGGACTTCAATGGGCGGCAGGGTAGGGATGCTGCCACAGACAGAGATAGCAATGCTAGGAAGGCAGCAGTACCAGGTCACAATGAATATGGGCAGTGAGGGAGGGGATGGTGATACAACTGTCTGTGAGCAGATTGTGGCTTGGCTGCAATTTTCCTTTGGAGGTGCAGAATAAGTGTAGTGAAGGGACAAGGTTGAAGAGCAGGAGGAAGAGGAGGTGCACAAGATGATGAGTATCTTGGGGAAGGATTAGCAAGTGGGGTGAGAAGGTGAAGCATGAAGTGGCAGCAAGGCTAATGGCTGAACAACCTTGCAACAGGCCAAGGTTATGAACAGGTATGTGTAGACACAAATAGGTGTGATGCCAGATGATAAATAGAGCAACAGAAAGGGGAAGAGAGTGATGGGAACAAGCATAGCATGGTGTCAAAAAGAAAAGCAATGAGAAAAAGTGGGAAACAAGGTGATAAAGAAGAGCAAAGGAAAAATCAAAGCTTGGAGATTAATATGTACCGAAAAGATCACTTCCCCTCAGTGAGAAGAAGCAGTAAATGAGGAATATGAGAGAACCACTAGTAGTAAATGGGACAGCAGTGGAGAGCTGTAGTTGAGAGGTGGATGGTAAGGAGCAGCTGTGTGGGAACGAGCAGACATGGAATATATAGGAGGTGTTGTTGTCAGCAAAGAGGACAGTGAGGAAAGGAGGGATGTCATGGAAAAGTGGTAAATGCAACAGCTGAGAAAATCATCAATCATCATAGGCAGGTGGTGGAAGGAGATAAGTGGGGTGAGAGGGGAGACACTGCAGATGCAGCAAGGAAGGATGGAAAGAAGTTGGGTGATGTTCTGAGCAGGCATGAAGGTTACATGGCTAGGGAGCTTATAAAAACAAAATGCTAATGGTAAGGGACTGTGAGAACCCCCACAGCCTGGGAGGTGATACAGACAGGAGGTAAGCTGGGCTCTGAGGAGTGCTGGTGAGGCTGTAAAGCTAAAAGAAAGAAAAGAGCCTGTGAGAGAAGGTGGCAAGAGTAGGCGAGGCAGGATAGGGGTGGGAGAAGCAAATGAAGCAGGCAGTGATGGAGACTTGAAGAGCTGGACTGCCAGAGCAGGAGGCAAAACGGCAGATAAGGAGGGAGTCAAGTAATGGCTGTGGTGCAGGAACACGAAAGGGTTGTTGAGGAGAAATGGGATAGGCAGGAAATAAACCCAGCTATAAGGAGAGGAGTGACAGCAGCTTGTCAGTGGGGTGGGAGGTTTGAGGGGCATTGGTGAGTACAGCAGAGAGATCACTAAAGGAAAGGGGACAGCAAAAGCAGGTCATGAATGGAGTAGCAGTGGGCTGCGGAGGAGACGCAGCTATGGCTGGCAGAAGTACTACTAATAAAAAAAAAGCAATAGTGGAAACCAGCTGTGAACTGGAAAGGAGTTGGTAAACAGGAGGAGTATGATGGCAGGGAGCTCAAGACAGGCAACTACATGCAAAAGAGAACAGCAGCATTGCGGTGGCTGGCTAGCAGGTCTGAGAGGGGAGGGAAGAGTGGCAACCATAGTACAACAAACAGTGACACGGAGAGGCTTGGCAGTGTTTGGGTGATGGGGCAGTAAATGAGCACTCAGAGGAAGCAGAGCTGTGAAAAGAGGCTGGGGTTGGTTGTGAATCAGATATGTGATGGCACATCAGCAGAGATCAATGGGAGTCTGCAGCTGAGTGAGGGACAAGGGACAGCAAGGGGAGGGAGAAGGAACTAATCTTTGAGAGTAAGTGAAAGAAGGGAATGGAAAGATTGGGACAAAAGAGTAAAAATACCAACAGGGTACAAATGGTTATTTTGGCATCTGGAATAGCTTAAAACAAGCATAATAGTGTGGAGAAATGCCTCTGACTGGTGGCATATTTAACAATCAATAAGGCAAGAGAGCAGGCTATAAACATAGCTGTGGGAAGTGCAGGCTAGAGTGATGACCGAGGCAGGACTATCTGGTAAAGACAAAGCTGTGAAGCAAGTCAGAGAGAAGTTGGAAGGACAATGATGTGATGCAGGAGGGTGCAATAGAGGTGGCAAAGGGGCCTTAAGGAACAGCTGGCTAACAGGACAGCAACGTTGGCTCAGCCATGAGAGGTGGGGAGGATAATGAACACACAGTGTGAAGGAGAGCGAAAGGATGGGTTTCCACAAGATGCAACAGAAAGTCCTTTTGGACTGGGAGCAGGCAGCAGGAGAGAGAAAATACATGCAGAGAAGTGGAAATGATTAGACAGAGCTAATGGTGAGCAAGGTGGAGT